TTGGGCCTGCGGCAGGCCAGCCCCAACCCTGGGGCAGGCCCCATGGTCTGGCCCCCAACTGGCTGCAGCCCCCCTCCTGCTGCAGAGGCTGGCCCCAGCCTTGCTCTGGCTGGGAGGTGGGGTTTGGAATGGGTCCCAGTCAGACCAAAGTTGTGGCAGTTGGGCTCCAGTCCCAGCACTGGGGTAGGGCCCACTGGGCTACTGGGGTAGGCCCCACAGACTGGGGTCTGTCCCGCATCTGGCCGTGGCTGCCTGGCCCTGGCACTGCTCCAGCATGCATGGTGGGTGTAGGAAGGGAGGTGGAATTGGCTGCAGTGGCCTGGTCTAAACTAGCTAAGTTAACCCAGTCTCCCACACTTTCTCCCCCCAACCACCTGCCCTGAGTCCCCCATGTGCCTCAAATCTGACTCCTATACTCCCCAGCCCCCTGCCCTGCCTCCTGCACCCCGCACAGCTGCATCCCCTGCCCTGAGCCCCTCATTCACTCAGCCCTGACTCCTGCACCCCCCACATACTCCAACCCTCTGCTCTGAACCCCCTGTACTCCACCCCACATTTACATTTCTTACAGATACTGTTGAATCACAACACTCCCCTCCACTGTGAGGCCCCTGCCAAGGGGGGTGGATTATTACAGTGCAGCACTGTAAGAGTAAGTTACTATCACCCCCTGCCACCCCCACCCCCAGGCCACACGCAGGTCAGGTTTCCAAGCTTGTCTCCGTAAACTGGAGAGGCAGAAGCTGAGAGCTTTGTGCAGTCGTTCCCATTGCTGAAAGATGTGCTTTCAGAAAAGCACCACGTTTGCTGAGAGCACCATTCAAACCACAACAACTGGCAAGACTGAGTCTATCCCAGGAACTCGGGGGTGCAGGGGCAGTAATCCCTTCTGCACGGTGTGCTGAGCAGTTGGGATCAGGGCTGCATTTGACATGATGGTGCCCTAGGTCAGGTCCCTTACAAACAATGCCACCGATTTGCAGGTTATTGGGACTCCCGCCCCAACCCACGGGACCAGGACTGGTCTTAGTCCCTCTGCCCACACTAGCATGACATCTGATCACACCAACCAGTACAAAGTCTCCTGGCTGCAGTACTGCCAACCCCGGGCATCCCAAACTCGCAAGTCACATCCCTCCGCCATTATGAGATTTAAAAAAAAAATGTTTTAAGCCAAAATAATAAACCACACTGGTGTGCATCTGCATCCTGATTTGTATAAGGAAGTTTCCCAGCCCCAATTTGTGTTTGATCATTTCAGGGGCAATATTCAACCTGGAACATACACACAAAAGTGCAGGAGGTCTGCCGTTTGGTTGCTTGGGGGTCAGAGCCCCTTTGCTGGCAGACAACTGATCACTGACTATATAGGTTTCCACTCATCTAGCATTTTGCAGGACACGCCTACATTTAGGAATCTGTCCTTTCTTCCTGTGCCAGCCTGAAGCTTGCCCTCCCGCATCAGACAAACCCTTCATACAACAATACTCTGCAATCTAGGGGACCCCAAGCTGAGTGGGAAGCCCAGAAACCAGGAATTCAGATCTCAAGGCTTGTACTGGCTGCTGTGGAGAGTTACACAGTGCAGAGTTACACAGCCTCATACATCAGTACTATTGAAGTGACTACCATTATCCCAGCCACTTTATAAATAAGTAATTTTAGCAGCATTGGGAACCTAGGCCTCCAACACGGGAGACCTACGTTACAACCGTCCTGGAAATCGGCCTTTCTTGAAAGAAATCATCTGCCACGTCCGCGTGTCTGGCCAGCCTGTCTACCAAAGCAGACCACACTCCCCTCCCAGCTCTAGCTGCAGAGTAGGTGGGTAGCACACTGGCAAAGTGCGTGTCACAGCACCCTCTAGTGGTTGGTCCACATAGAGAATCACAGCTACCTTTATTACCAGATGCTCCTTTAGCTCAAAGAGGGCCTTGCTGTGGCTCGAAGAGCCAAGGGTTCCAGTCCTGCTGGAAATGCATGTGGAAAAACTAGTCTGTAGCCAAACAGTGAAAGGCTGTCTCCTACCACACGGGCGCACAAGGGCTGGGCTGCATTAGTTCCAGCAGCTCCTGTTCTTTGTGCTTAGATGTTCTTACCATCTCTGGTACCCCCTCTAAGCTAGCACTGCTTGGGGAATGGATGCCTCAGGGCATCACCAATGGTTACAAAAGATGGTCTTCAGTCTGAGCCCAGCCCAGCTCCATGGAGACTGCAGGTTGGTCCCATCTAATGGATATTCACTAGGGAATTAAGTCGTCACTGCTGCTGCCAGGTGTCTCTAACCCCCCTTCTGTCCACTCACAAAACCCTCTCACCTGAGTGAAGTGGTGCTGTCAGCACGGGTGGATTAGCCTGGCTAAAGATACTGGCTAGTGCCCAAGTAAGCCACTGGCTTTGCAGGGAAGACACATGCTATCTCACTCAAGTACATACAGTCCTCCCGTGCCTTTCCACAAATCTCCCTCCCCCACCCTGCATCCTGCCCTGGAAAAGAATTATGGAACGGCACAAAGAACCTGGGATGTGCCCCAGGAGTCCCAGCGACACAAGCGGGGGAATGCAGCGGCAGTGAGGCCACATCCCAGTGTGGTGTAGGCAGATTGGCCTCACTTTAGGGAAGGTGGACAATGATAGGAGGGCAGGAGCCATCCAGGCTACCTCTCCCCCTCCAGTGCCCTGGGGGTGATTGATGCTCTGGCCAGGGGCCTGGAAAAATGTGGGGGTGAAGAAAAGTGCACCCCTACCTATGCGGTTCCCTCCCAGCACTACGGTCGGGGAATGGGGTTAGGGCTTGCCTCCATCTGTCTGGCACTTGGGGAAGTGGGGCTTGTCCAGTTCCAGCAAGAGAGACAGGGTTGGGCCGTGGGGGCCTGCCCCACTCCAGTGCTCCAGGAAACACCAATTCTATTCCTCAGCAAGGGCACCTGGTGGGAGGAGTGGGACAAGTCCCCGACCAGGCTCTGCGGCTGGAATACTGGACAGGAAGAGCCTCCACGCTTCCACCTGCTCCTGCCAGGGGTGCCAGGTGGGCAGAGGAGGGCAAGCTCCAGCAGGGCAAGCGCTGGGGCAGGAGCAATGTTGGGATGGGATGGGTGGGCCTGGATGATAAGTGGGGGTCCTGGCCCACTCAGGACTACCTGTCATATTGCTAATGGCTTTGAATTGTGGCTGCTCACACCCAGATTAGGTTAAGCCAGGTGCTCAAACGTGGGTGCTGATCGTCTGAGTTACCTGGGCAGGGAAGACACACCCTGAGGGGCCATCTTCCTCAGTGCGCTGAGTGCTGCACCCCAGGATGTGCTGTCAGCCCCATTGGAAACCACTATGGACTGCCCCACTTTGCCTACTCAGGTCCTTTTAGGCTTGTGGATTCCGTTCCATTGACAGTAATGGGAGCCGGCAGCCATTTTGAAAAGGGCAGCACCACGTCCTGCCCGGCCAGTCACTCACCAAGCTGCATTGCAGAGAAGACAGCAAGGATGCTGTTCGCCACCAGGCTGGATGGGCCCATCCTCTTGGATTATTCCTTTTTCCAAAAAAACTTCACCTGCGTCTAGACTGCAGCCGCGTTCTTTCGAAATTAAATTGAAAGAACGCGGCTTTTCTTTCGACAGCGGTAAACCTCATTTCACGAGGAAAAACGCCTTCTTTCGAAAGTGCTTCTTTCGAAAGAAGGCGTTCTTGAATGTAAATAGGGCTTCTTCGAAAGAGAGCATCCAGACTCACTGGGTGCTTTCTTTCGAAAAAACGGCTTTTTTTTTTTTTAGAAGTTGGCAGCAGCTTCTATCTGGCCACAGTGCCCGGCCCCGCTCCTGCTGGAAGGTGGGGTGTGGAATAGCCAATAGAGCCAATAGGTGCCATCTGGCCAGGCCATGGCTGCTGCAGCACAGCACAGCCCTGATCTGCCACAGGAGGGGTTTGTGATGGTCCTGCTGCTGCCACGGTGGCCTGGTCCCGGCCTCGTTCCTGCAGGGGAGGTGGGGCTGGAATTGGCCCTTGTCTGGCTGCAGTTGTGGCTGCTGCAGGCCAGCCCCAATCCTGGGGCAGGCCCCATGGTCTGGCCCCCAACTGGCTGCAGCCCCCCTCCTGCTGCAGAGGCTGGCCCCAGCCTTGCTCTGGCTGGGAGGTGGGGTTTGGAATCGGTCCCTGTCAGACCAAAGTTGTGGCAGTTGGGCTCCAGTCCCAGCACTGGGGTAGGGCCCACTGGGCTACTGGGGTAGGCCCCACAGACTGGGGTCTGTCCCGCATCTGGCCGTGGCTGCCTGGCCCTGGCACTGCTCCAGCATGCATGGTGGGTGTAGGAAGGGAGGTGGAATTGGCTGCAGTGGCCTGGTCTAAACTAGCTAAGTTAACCCAGTCTCCCACACTTTCTCCCCCCAACCACCTGCCCTGAGTCCCCCATGTGCCTCAAATCTGACTCCTATACTCCCCAGCCCCCTGCCCTGCCTCCTGCACCCCGCACAGCTGCATCCCCTGCCCTGAGCCCCTCATTCACTCAGCCCTGACTCCTGCACCCCCCACATACTCCAACCCTCTGCTCTGAACCCCCTGTACTCCACCCCACATTTACATTTCTTACAGATACTGTTGAATCACAACACTCCCCTCCACTGTGAGGCCCCTGCCAAGGGGGGTGGATTATTACAGTGCAGCACTGTAAGAGTAAGTTACTATCACCCCCTGCCACCCCCACCCCCAGGCCACACGCAGGTCAGGTTTCCAAGCTTGTCTCCGTAAACTGGAGAGGCAGAAGCTGAGAGCTTTGTGCAGTCGTTCCCATTGCTGAAAGATGTGCTTTCAGAAAAGCACCACGTTTGCTGAGAGCACCATTCAAACCACAACAACTGGCAAGACTGAGTCTATCCCAGGAACTCGGGGGTGCAGGGGCAGTAATCCCTTCTGCACGGTGTGCTGAGCAGTTGGGATCAGGGCTGCATTTGACATGATGGTGCCCTAGGTCAGGTCCCTTACAAACAATGCCACCGATTTGCAGGTTATTGGGACTCCCGCCCCAACCCACGGGACCAGGACTGGTCTTAGTCCCTCTGCCCACACTAGCATGACATCTGATCACACCAACCAGTACAAAGTCTCCTGGCTGCAGTACTGCCAACCCCGGGCATCCCAAACTCGCAAGTCACATCCCTCCGCCATTATGAGATTTAAAAAAAAAATGTTTTAAGCCAAAATAATAAACCACACTGGTGTGCATCTGCATCCTGATTTGTATAAGGAAGTTTCCCAGCCCCAATTTGTGTTTGATCATTTCAGGGGCAATATTCAACCTGGAACATACACACAAAAGTGCAGGAGGTCTGCCGTTTGGTTGCTTGGGGGTCAGAGCCCCTTTGCTGGCAGACAACTGATCACTGACTATATAGGTTTCCACTCATCTAGCATTTTGCAGGACACGCCTACATTTAGGAATCTGTCCTTTCTTCCTGTGCCAGCCTGAAGCTTGCCCTCCCGCATCAGACAAACCCTTCATACAACAATACTCTGCAATCTAGGGGACCCCAAGCTGAGTGGGAAGCCCAGAAACCAGGAATTCAGATCTCAAGGCTTGTACTGGCTGCTGTGGAGAGTTACACAGTGCAGAGTTACACAGCCTCATACATCAGTACTATTGAAGTGACTACCATTATCCCAGCCACTTTATAAATAAGTAATTTTAGCAGCATTGGGAACCTAGGCCTCCAACACGGGAGACCTACGTTACAACCGTCCTGGAAATCGGCCTTTCTTGAAAGAAATCATCTGCCACGTCCGCGTGTCTGGCCAGCCTGTCTACCAAAGCAGACCACACTCCCCTCCCAGCTCTAGCTGCAGAGTAGGTGGGTAGCACACTGGCAAAGTGCGTGTCACAGCACCCTCTAGTGGTTGGTCCACATAGAGAATCACAGCTACCTTTATTACCAGATGCTCCTTTAGCTCAAAGAGGGCCTTGCTGTGGCTCGAAGAGCCAAGGGTTCCAGTCCTGCTGGAAATGCATGTGGAAAAACTAGTCTGTAGCCAAACAGTGAAAGGCTGTCTCCTACCACACGGGCGCACAAGGGCTGGGCTGCATTAGTTCCAGCAGCTCCTGTTCTTTGTGCTTAGATGTTCTTACCATCTCTGGTACCCCCTCTAAGCTAGCACTGCTTGGGGAATGGATGCCTCAGGGCATCACCAATGGTTACAAAAGATGGTCTTCAGTCTGAGCCCAGCCCAGCTCCATGGAGACTGCAGGTTGGTCCCATCTAATGGATATTCACTAGGGAATTAAGTCGTCACTGCTGCTGCCAGGTGTCTCTAACCCCCCTTCTGTCCACTCACAAAACCCTCTCACCTGAGTGAAGTGGTGCTGTCAGCACGGGTGGATTAGCCTGGCTAAAGATACTGGCTAGTGCCCAAGTAAGCCACTGGCTTTGCAGGGAAGACACATGCTATCTCACTCAAGTACATACAGTCCTCCCGTGCCTTTCCACAAATCTCCCTCCCCCACCCTGCATCCTGCCCTGGAAAAGAATTATGGAACGGCACAAAGAACCTGGGATGTGCCCCAGGAGTCCCAGCGACACAAGCGGGGGAATGCAGCGGCAGTGAGGCCACATCCCAGTGTGGTGTAGGCAGATTGGCCTCACTTTAGGGAAGGTGGACAATGATAGGAGGGCAGGAGCCATCCAGGCTACCTCTCCCCCTCCAGTGCCCTGGGGGTGATTGATGCTCTGGCCAGGGGCCTGGAAAAATGTGGGGGTGAAGAAAAGTGCACCCCTACCTATGCGGTTCCCTCCCAGCACTACGGTCGGGGAATGGGGTTAGGGCTTGCCTCCATCTGTCTGGCACTTGGGGAAGTGGGGCTTGTCCAGTTCCAGCAAGAGAGACAGGGTTGGGCCGTGGGGGCCTGCCCCACTCCAGTGCTCCAGGAAACACCAATTCTATTCCTCAGCAAGGGCACCTGGTGGGAGGAGTGGGACAAGTCCCCGACCAGGCTCTGCGGCTGGAATACTGGACAGGAAGAGCCTCCACGCTTCCACCTGCTCCTGCCAGGGGTGCCAGGTGGGCAGAGGAGGGCAAGCTCCAGCAGGGCAAGCGCTGGGGCAGGAGCAATGTTGGGATGGGATGGGTGGGCCTGGATGATAAGTGGGGGTCCTGGCCCACTCAGGACTACCTGTCATATTGCTAATGGCTTTGAATTGTGGCTGCTCACACCCAGATTAGGTTAAGCCAGGTGCTCAAACGTGGGTGCTGATCGTCTGAGTTACCTGGGCAGGGAAGACACACCCTGAGGGGCCATCTTCCTCAGTGCGCTGAGTGCTGCACCCCAGGATGTGCTGTCAGCCCCATTGGAAACCACTATGGACTGCCCCACTTTGCCTACTCAGGTCCTTTTAGGCTTGTGGATTCCGTTCCATTGACAGTAATGGAATTCTATTCCTCAGCAAGGGCACCTGGTGGGAGGAGTGGGACAAGTCCCCGACCAGGCTCTGCGGCTGGAATACTGGACAGGAAGAGCCTCCACGCTTCCACCTGCTCCTGCCAGGGGTGCCAGGTGGGCAGAGGAGGGCAAGCTCCAGCAGGGCAAGCGCTGGGGCAGGAGCAATGTTGGGATGGGATGGGTGGGCCTGGATGATAAGTGGGGGTCCTGGCCCACTCAGGACTACCTGTCATATTGCTAATGGCTTTGAATTGTGGCTGCTCACACCCAGATTAGGTTAAGCCAGGTGCTCAAACGTGGGTGCTGATCGTCTGAGTTACCTGGGCAGGGAAGACACACCCTGAGGGGCCATCTTCCTCAGTGCGCTGAGTGCTGCACCCCAGGATGTGCTGTCAGCCCCATTGGAAACCACTATGGACTGCCCCACTTTGCCTACTCAGGTCCTTTTAGGCTTGTGGATTCCGTTCCATTGACTTTAATGGGAGCCGGCAGCCATTTTGAAAAGGGCAGCACCACGTCCTGCCCGGCCAGTCACTCACCAAGCTGCATTGCAGAGAAGACAGCAAGGATGCTGTTCGCCACCAGGCTGGATGGGCCCATCCTCTTGGATTATTCCTTCCCTCTGGGAGCTGGAAATATCATCCGGGTAAAAGGGCCCTACTGAGGAAACATGAACTGTTAATAGTGTAACAGGGTCTCACAGCTCCACGACAGGGCCTGCATACTCGGTTAGTGCCCCGGGTTCTGCTGGGCTGCAGGGCAGCTAGCTGGAGATTTGATCCCAGTCAGGGGCATTTACTGTGACAGCGAAGAGCCCAGCCAGTGCGCTCTCCCTGGAGTTTGATAGAGAATTCAGTGTATTCTGCACTGCCCCTAAATCAGAGGTGTAGCGAGGGTGTTATGCACCTGGGGGAAAAAGCAAAATTTACACACACACCCCACCATGTGACAGGGCCCCAAACCTGGGGCACAACTGAGCCCAACCCTGGGAGGAAGGGGGAAGCTTGTACTGCGTTTTCCCCCATCCCCTTCAGTTTGGGGCGGGCACTATCCCGTTGTTGAAGAGGGAGGAGGGTGGGACTGTGAGGCGCAGAGGCAGGGA